TGATAATTGATCATGTGATCCTCATGTGACTCGATATGAGGGTGGTTTTGAGCCATCTCCGCCAAGAGTGATTGGGGAGTCACTGCTATGGGGAATAGTGGTTCGATAACCAGCCGAGTTAGAGACTGAAGATGAGCGGGAGGTTAGCTACTGGTTTTTTGGTTGCTTCTTGTCTTCATGTGACCCGTCCTAATGGATCGTATTGCCACACCTGACATGGAGTGAAGGGCACATTGCTGTGGGGTTTGAGGCTTGTGATCTACCAAGGAAGGGACTGGGGGATGTGATGATTGATCTCATGATTTTGTTGGCTATGTATTGGTTTGTTGCTGAGGGGTTATTGTTTTTCACTTCAACTCCCTAGACCGTGGCTTATGGTTATTGATCGTGCTAGCTTCATGTGACTTTGCTGGGATTTCTCATGGGGTAGATTTTATCCTCTCTCACGGCTTTGGTTAAGTGGCTTGAATGTCACGGCTGTGAGGAGTGGGATGCTTATTGGATTCCATGTTTTATCTGCAGTTTCTACAATTTCTGTTAGGTAATGCTGGCTACATTTCTACGATCATGTTAATTGTAACTTCTGTTAGGTAATGCTGGCTACATTTCTACGATCATGTTAATTGTAACTTCTGTTAGGTAATGCTGGCTACATTTCTACGATCATGTTAATTGTAACTTCTGTTAGGTAATGCTGGCTACATTTCTACGATCATGTTAATTGTAACTTCTGTTAGGTAATGCTGGCTACATTTCTACAATTTGTGTTCCTCAAGTCATGAATTTTGTATGCATACTTGCATATAAAGGATTTTGTGTTAAACATGGTATTAGCTATTTTATCACTTGTTTACCTATTTTTTATATCCACTTAATAATGCTTGGTATTAGCTATTGGAATACTCTCCTTGGTGTTAAACATGGTATTCATTCTTTTTATTGTCTTCTTTAGAGAGGATGCAGGGTCTCAGTGTCTTTGTCTAAATTATCTTAAATTTATGATTCTTCAAATGCATTTCCATGAAGTTACATGACTCAGCATTGAACTTTTGATTTGTGCTTTAATGTCTAGAATTCATATTATTTATGAATTTGGACAAATCTAAATGGATTTTAAATAGATATAATTGGTGGAGTTCATGATTTTGGATTAAGTTTACCAACTCTAGCTGGTATTAAATTGTTTTTCTTTTTAATGGTATGATAATCCAATAAATAAGGAAATGCACTTGTTGGAAACTAGGATTTTATGATTTTGTTGCCTTGTCGAGTCTATAATTAGTGTTAGGTGGGGTCATATATCTTAAGTTGGAAAATGCTGCAATCATTTGCTGCTCTTTTTACAGAGCCTGACATGGAAATTTGTGGATGACAAGAATTGTAAGTTCGTAATGTACGTCTGATTATGCCATCATCTATTGAATGTAAAAGTTCATTGTCCAACATTAAGAAAAAGAACTTTTAAGCTATCTGAGTTATGCTGCTGATTTTGAATCAATTTCTGTTTGTGTATAAGATATTGTAGAATTCTTGCGTGTACACCACTTAGCTGCTTTCTACCTGTGAGCATGCTTTACTTTTGACATTATTCTACAAAATACGTAATTTGGAAACCTTTTGAAGCTGGTTTTTTCAATTCTATTTCACCAATTTATATTTATTTGCTTTTGTTTTAGTGGGCTTGAAACTTATTTTGCTAGTTTTTTCTTTTGTTCATGCGATGACAGATGGCTTGTTAAGCTTTTTGTAGCAAGTGGGACATCTTGGTACCCAGCATATTTGGAGACTTTTCGTATGATGTTTCAGAATTATAGTTCAGCCTGTCACTCTACTCAGTTTCATGCTGGTGCATACCATACTTTTTTTTTTTAACTTGAAGCATTTTATATTTTTCAGGTAAAAAAACGCTACTTCCATACTCATGATTTGGGCCAGAAAACTGGTTTGCTAAACCTTTCCATTAAAAGGATCTGGAAGATCATTTATACTTATTGAGGATTCATCCGCTCCGATTTTGTTTCCTTCTTCACCAGTGCAACATGAGTGCATACCTCAAGCTATTTTAGGAATGGATGTCATCTGTCAAGCAAAGTCAGGGATGGGGAAAACTGCTGTGTTTGTTCTTTCTACTTTGCAGCAGATTGAACCTGTTGCAGGACAAGTTGCTGCTCTTGTCATGTGTCATACGAGAGAATTAGCTTACTAGGTATGCTGGGAGACCTGGAAGTTAGTATTTAGGCATATTTGTTTGAGTTCTTGGACATTGTATTTCCAATAATGTGATTTTGTTTCTTAACTAACCATTACTTTTTATTATTTATAGATCTGTCATGAATTTGAGAGGTTCAGTACCTATTTGCCTGACATTAAGGTTGCTGTCTTCTACGGTGGTGTCAATATCAAGGTTCACAAGGATTTACTGAAGAATGAATGTCCTCATATTGTTGTTGGTACTCCTAGAAGAATATTGGCTCTTGCAAGAGATAAGGAACTCGGCTTAAAGAATGTGAGGCATTTTGTCCTTGATGAGTGTGACAAGATGCTCAAATCACTTGGTAAGCTTCTGCATATGATTTCTATGGTCAAATGTTTTCAAAAATTTGGCCTGCATTGTTTGTTCTTTTTAGTACCTCTTTCTTTCTCTTTCCTTCAAACATTGATAATTTATTTATTTGTTTTTTTATTTTTATTGTTACCTTATCAGATATGAGGAGAGATGTGCAGGAAATTTTTAAGATGACTCCTCACGATAAACAAGTTATGATGTTTTCAGCTACACTCAGCAAAGAGATTCGTCCAGTTTGCAAAAAGTTCATGCAAGATGTAATATTCTTTCTCCGCTGTTTCCTTTCTGTTGTGTTAGATTAGGAAAGTATGCAAACTACTGAATTTTTGGTTGTGCTGGCACTGGTTTCTATGAACTAGGCAGGGAAATCAACAGTTTGCATCTTGGTATAGATGTTGATGGTTCATGGGTCCTTTACAGGTTTCCAGCTATGCTATTACGTATGAGTGGCTATGTAGTGTCAGTGTCGATGTATTGCTTCTTATCAAACTGTGTTGTGTTGTGCTGTGCTTATGGTGACATAATTTATGCAGTTGTTAAACTAATGAATTGTACAAGTTTACTGAATGATCCGATTAATTATAGTATTTGTTTCATTTCAGGACACACAAAATGTGTATACTGGATAGTTTCTGTCATTTCTCAATTTTTGGTTAAGCATTATACACTAGGATAGTATTGATGGACTGCATTTGTTTTCAGTGTTTATATCATGTCAAATATTTACTCTTTAATTCTTAGAATCCTATGTCATTTGTCTACTTCTGCACTGGGAGAAGCTTTCTATATTGTATCTTTGTACACATACATTTATGTTTATTATTTTGAAGCCATTTGGAGGAATGGCTATTGTAGGCACACTCTACTTCTTTTTTTTTCCCCGGTGAAAGGAGGCACGCTTTTAAAAATAGGGTGAAACTCTTGGCGTAGGGTGGGTGTTTCAATCTGTGTGGCGGGTGTTTCAATCTGTGTTTGTTTCTAAAATTTTAGGTTGTAGCATGTGTTAGCTTCTTTTTTGGGGGGATAAGTGCAGTGGTTTGTGTTAGCTTACAATTAGTGTTTAATACGTCTTCTTGTGATCTTTGTCCCTTTCAGCCAATGGAAATTTATGTGGATGATGAGGCCAAATTTTAGGATGGGAAACGTAATTGTAGGAGTCACTACAAGAAAAACAGGATATTGGTAATGATATCCATTCTTTCAATCAACTAAACTTAAAATTTCCATTTTTAGTTTTTCCTGCAATTATTTCAGAGTTGCACAGACCATTTAGTGTGGGAGGTTTTTTATTTTTTATTTTTATGAATATAGGTTTTTGAATAAGTATATTTTTTTTAAATTTTTTATTCTTTGAATACTACAATCTTCCTTTCACCAAGCCCAGGCCACTCCACTGACTTCAATGCCCATCACTGTAAGTCTGTAATAGGCAATCACACTATGAATCTGAATTATTGATAACTATAGCTCAACTAATAAGTTGATTGTCAAAATCTTAGCTGATCTAGTTATTTATCGATATCTAATTTGGCTTGGAAGTGTGCCACCAAGTTGTGTGTTATTTTTCTGAATCAGGAGGCGGAGCGGATGCTAATGGTGGGAGACTGGGGATGCACACAAGTGGGATTCAAGAAGTACAAGAGGAGTATTAATGAAGAGGACTGAAGAGGGATTTAATGATTTGATCTGCTTAATATAAGGTACGAATATCAAATAGTTCCACCCGGAGTAGAAAAATAATTGCTAAGGATATGTTTTCTCATTCTAAAATCTCTCACATTTGTTTTGTACCAGTAATATAGACCATTTGTGATGAATAAATATTAGATAATGAAGTTTAGTTATTTGTTGTTTCTACTCATCCATGTAGATCAAAGATTTATGGTATGCTCATATATCTATACTATATATAAAGTGAACAAGTCACTTGGCGTCCAAGCCGCCTTCTTATACCAGGTGTCCCTTATTTCTCTAAGAGAATATAAAAAATTAAATATTGAGGCCGTGAAAAGGACTTGAACCTAAGATCATTAGTTTGGTAAGCAACACTTCTATACTCTATATATATATACACTAGCGGTAATCTACGTGGATTTTTGTTGTTGTCATTTATGAAATATTAAAAAATAAAAAGGAAAAGAAAATTAAGGAGACCTAAAATAAGGAAATAGAAAGAAAAAAAAAAATCTTTCCATCTAAATCCATAATTGGTGTTCATCTTATTAGTTCTATAATATCATGTAAATTTTGTGATAAATCCTTGAATGATGTTTTTAGTTTACATGCAAAAAAGCATTCAGATCCTAAGTTTGTGTTTGTCTCATTAGTATGTGAAATTAATTTTGAACACCTTTTCAAGCATCAAAGAATATGAAGAATATAATTAGATCAATTTGAAAAGAGTAGCTAGTCTAAAATTGTCATTCAGACCATCAAACATGTACCTTCTCCTACCACTGGAGTCATCAAATGTCTCTAGTGATGAACCTTGGAGAATTAATTGGATGGGAATCAATTCTTGTGTTTCTGTGGTAGAATTTTTGAAAGAAAATGCTTGGTTAAGCGCTGAGCAGTCTAGTGGTGATAGGGGAAATTCATCAGTTCATGGCATGAACTCAATTGAGTCTGAATGCAAAGCCACAAATGTCATCCACCTGGCCAATAAATCAATTGATACCAAAAACCTCAGGGAGATGGTGGTTTTGGCAATTCACACGGGGAGAATTTACTCTGTCTTACATGCCGTTGATAATACATCTGCTGAGAGTCCTTTTGATCGGAACTCTGATGCAATCCCTTCTAGTTATTCATCCTTTGCAGAGTACTTTAGCAAAAAGTAGGTACTTTTGCAAAAAGTAGGTACTTTTTTATTTTATTTATATATATACTAAATGTAACGTTATGTTCACTGCATAGTCTATTTTGGCCCACCATTTGTCACTTACTGAAACTCGACATTAACTTTGATCAGGTATGGGATTACACTAATGCATCCTGGACAACCTTTGCTACTGCTAAAGCAAAGTCACAATGCACACAACCTTCTTGTGGATTTTAGGAATGAAGGTTTGCTCACTTGCATGTTAAACTTTTGTTAGAACAAAGAAGCTTTCGTATTGTGCCATCCCTGTGTTCTGTTGTTTTACTGTCAGGATTTATATCAAATCTATGGTTCATTTCCATTGTTATAAGATTTTGTAAGTTGCTTTTAAATGTGTAATTTATTAATTTATCTTGTTCTTTCAGTGCAAAATGTGTTCTAAGACTTATGGAGACTACGTAATTAAATGTTATGAGAATCCAATAGCTCTCTCTCTCTCTCTCCTGATGTTTGTAAATTGGTTGAAGAGGTATTCATGATTTTAAGGCTTGGTATCTAGGCAGCATGCATTTACAAGGGTTCTTACGTTCTTAGGCAGAGGAAATGCCCTTTTAGTGGAATTCTGCATATATGAAAAACAATTACGACTTTCAGAACTAGCATTTAAAAACAGTAGAATAGTTTGAAAAAGTTGAGATCAAGTACCCATGAATGTTATATGCCTTTGGATCTCATTCCATCAATACTATCAGTATAAGTAAACAGAAGACAATTCTATAGCTTATCTCATTGCATCAATACTAATTTACCGTGCTTTGCATGCCATATTCTATTTGTCAGTTTAGTTCTTTTTGTTCTTTCAATATTTAGCTTTCAATTGATGACTTAGCTCTCACAATGTTGGGGTTTATGAATAACAGGGCAGCAGCACCTGCAGCTAAGAACACAGGTATTCATAAGTAAATACTCGGTGTAATTGACTTACAATATTCACATTGTGTGATTAATGTGTCCTGTTGTGTGGTAATAATGAAAAAGTGAAGTTGATAATACTCTTATTTTGGTGCAATTATTTATTGCTTTGTTCATGCTTTTGATACAATTTATTGCTTTGTTCTAGATTTTCTTTAAAAAGATTATAATTTGCAACAATTATTTATTGCTTTGTTCATGCTTTTGATACAATTTATTGCTTTGTTCTAGATTTTCTTTAAAAAGATTATAATTTGCAACAATTATTTATTGCTTTGTTCATGCTTTTGATACAATTTATTGCTTTGTTCTAGATTTTCTTTAAAAAGATTATAATTTGCAACAATTATTTATTGCTTTGTTCATGCTTTTGATACAATTTATTGCTTTGTTCTAGATTTTCTTTAAAAAGATTATAATTTGCAACAATTATTTATTGCTTTGTTCATGCTTTTGATACAATTTATTGCTTTGTTCTAGATTTTCTTTAAAAAGATTATAATTTGCAACAATTATTTATTGCTTTGTTCATGCTTTTGATACAATTTATTGCTTTGTTCTAGATTTTCTTTAAAAAGATTATAATTTGCAACAATTATTTATTGCTTTGTTCATGCTTTTGATACAATTTATTGCTTTGTTCTAGATTTTCTTTAAAAAGATTATAATTTGCAACAATTATTTATTGCTTTGTTCATGCTTTTGATACAATTTATTGCTTTGTTCTAGATTTTCTTTAAAAAGATTATAATTTGCAACAATTATTTATTGCTTTGTTCATGCTTTTGATACAATTTATTGCTTTGTTCTAGATTTTCTTTAAAAAGATTATAATTTGCAACAATTATTTATTGCTTTGTTCATGCTTTTGATACAATTTATTGCTTTGTTCTAGATTTTCTTTAAAAAGATTATAATTTGCAACAATTATTTATTGCTTTGTTCATGCTTTTGATACAATTTATTGCTTTGTTCTAGATTTTCTTTAAAAAGATTATAATTTGCAACAATTATTTATTGCTTTGTTCATGCTTTTGATACAATTTATTGCTTTGTTCTAGATTTTCTTTAAAAAGATTATAATTTGCAACAATTATTTATTTATCTGTAGGTCAAAAGGATAATTTTGCCGAGGGAAAGATCTGATTCAAGATGTAAGAGGAATTTGTAACTTTTTTTTTTTTTTTTTTTTTCAGCAGACCCAAAATTGAAATCTTGTTAGAATTTTTTTATTTTGTATTTAGTAAAATATCCAGATGTAAGAGGAATTTGCAGGTTATTTTGATTTTTTTTGCTATGTCGACGTGCTTTATGGTTTTGTACAAATTGGAATGTGAATAAATAAACAGCTCAACAGCATATTTTATATTAATTAAATTATGAAATAAAAAAAGGTATTTTTAATTTTGTTTTCAAGTTTAGTTTATTATTTTAATAAACATCAATTATTAGTTTGACAGGTATTTTTTTTGTTCAATCATGTAAAATTAAAAAAAGGGCTATGGCGGCGTTTAAAAAACGTCACTAATCCCACCTCAACGGCTAGATTTTAAAAATGTATAAATGTTTATGACGGCGTTTTTAAAAACGTCGCTAAATGTCATAGTGACGTCATACTACGTTTAGTAGGACATTTGGCGGCGTTTTAAAAAACGCCGCCTATACTAATATAACGACGTTTTTCAAACGTCATAAAGTTATAGCGACGGCCGCGTCATCGGCGTTTGGTACTAAACGTCATAAAAAGAATTAGTGACGTTTTTCGTACTTTTAGCGGCGTTTTTTAAACGCCGCTAAAAGTAAATTTTCCAGCAGTGGGAGCACAATGCAAGAAAAACCTTAGTTACGAATTATTATGATTATATTTTGAATGCTAAAATGTTACAAATTATTGTGAATTGAAAAATTACGAAAAGACATTCAAGAGACACTCTTTTAAATAAATTAGGGTGTTTGACTTACTAGTTGTGTAACACCATTTTGTAATGTGAGATTGTGATTTAAATCCTATAAAGAGAAGTTTGATATTCTTTTTGTTACCTCCTTCCCCGTTAATAATTAATCTTTATTAATGTACTAGTGAATTAATTGTGCCTAAAGGCACTCTCAACCAAAAAAAAATAAAAAAAAAAAAAAAAAAAAAAAAAAAGAGGATAATAAGACCGATTGCAATACATATATCAAGTTTAATGGTATTGATGAAGTCTCAGTGGGCCTTGATATTACTTGTTTTTTTTTGTGATCCAGCGTGATTGAGTTTGTGGGTCATCCGTGGACTTTAATTTGTAGGCAGACTTTTGGAAATATTGGTCTTTTTTTTGCTGTCCGTGGGCCACCATATTGGTGAAGATCTGGGATTTATTTTGGTCACTTTTTGTGTGATTGTCTATTAGTGGCCCATTGTTTATTGGGTTCATTTTGGAAAATTCTTTTTGTTTAGTCTCTTTGCAGGGATCATTTATTTATTTATTTTTTTTAATCGATAAAGAAAAATTTCATTAACAATATAAAATTAAAGGTACAGGAAGATGACATGCATCGAGAGAGATTCAGAAAGTACAAATTACCCCTACTACTGCTACTCGCATCCATACAACCAACCCCTTGGCCTCACGAATTTTTTTTTTTTTAAAATAAAAATAAAAAGTTAAGAAGGACTTAACAAGAAGATAAAAAACATGAATCCCCGCAAAATCAAACCACACGGCCCAAAACCAAGTTGCTCCCAATGTCCACCTGCTTACAAAATTTTTAAAATAAAACTTTTCATTCCCAAAGCCCACACCACCCAAACACACTCTTACCAACAACCCACGCCTGCAGACCTGCTCTTGACCTGCTCCTGACCAGCCTTCTCCCACGCCTAAAGAACTCCTAGCTGACCTGCTCCTGACCAGCCTTCACCCACGCCTGAAGAACTCCTTTCCCCAGCCTTCTCCCACGTCTGACATCTCCATTGCCGGGACTGCCCCGATCTACTGTGCTGCTACTCGAGCTCTACGGTCGGAACTCCCACTCCGAAGCACTGCTCCCTTTGCAATACATCACCCACGCTTGTCATTTCTCCCGATTTGCTATGCTGCTACTCGAGCTCTACGGCCGGAAACTCCCACCCCGTAGCACTGCTCCCTTTGCAGTACATCACCCACGATCTGCTGTTCTACTACTCGCACTCTTATGGCCGGAACTCCCACGCCGGACTTCACCCATTTATAGTTGATCATGTGATCATGTGATCCCCTTTGCAGCGGATCATTTATAGTTGATTATTTTATGATAATTGATCATGTGATCCTCATGTGACTCGATATGAGGGTGGTTTTGAGCCATCTCCGCCAAGAGTGATTGGGGAGTCACTGCTATGGGGAATAGTGGTTCGATAACCAGCCGAGTTAGAGACTGGGAGATGAGCGGGAGGTTAGCTACTGGTTTTTTGGTTGCTTCTTGTCTTCATGTGACCCGTCCTAATTGATCGTATTGCCATGCCTGACATGGAGTGAAGGGCACACTGCTGTGGGGTTTGAGGCTTGTGATCTACCAAGGAAGGGACTGGGGGATGTGATGATTGATCTCAAGATTTTGTTGGCTATGTATTGGTTTGTTACTGAGGGGTTATTGTTTTTCACTTCAACTCCCTAGACCGTGGCTTATGGTTATTGATCGTGCTAGCTTCATGTGACTTTGCTGGGATTTCTCATGGGATAGATTTTATCCTCTGTCACGGCTTTGGTTAAGTGGCTTGAATGTCACGGCTGTGAGGAGTGGGATGCTTATTGGATTCCATGTTTTATCTGCAGTAGAGACTGGGGGCATGTGGGGTTGGTTATCATCTTTGTTTTGGCTTGAGGGTTGTTATTTTGTCAGTGTGTCTGTTTTGTTTATTAGCTTTGTGGTTTTTTTTTTTTGGTATCTTTGCCCATATATCCACCTAAAGTTCCCATCTATTATCTCTAATGGTAGGGGTTACTTGAGGGCAAAAAAGATATATGGGCAGAGTTGGTTATTTTGTTTTCAGTTGTTCTTGTTTATCCCCATTTTTTAGGGGGGTGCAGTGGTAGTTTATGTTGGTTATATTTTTTTTTATTTGTTGTTGGGCGTGCCTGGAGTATGCTCTTTGTAAACTTGTAAATTTTCATTGTCTTTATTTTATGACTTACTTACCCCCCCCAAAAAAAAAAAAGTCTCCTTTCCCGATTCCATCCCTTCAGCAACGGAGCCAGAAAATTAATTTAGCATGGGCACTCTTAACTACTATCTCAATTTTGTTTCCTTATAATCAACAAAAATAAAATAATATTTTTTTAAGTTAATATTAAAAATAAAATTAAAATATTTATTGCAAATTTTTTAAGATATGAGCAGGTTAGTAAGTTAGGTTAGTACAACCAAATTGTTTGACACTTCTCTCAAAGCTCTTACCCTAAACCTCCTTCTAGCAATTTAGTAGAACAACCAGTTGAGCAACACTCAATTTTTTATTTTTTTTATTTTTATGATTGATCCCAACGAGTTTTCATCTTTTGAAAACTTGTCATAATAGTATCATTATCAATGTCATAAAAATATGAAATAAAATAAAAATTTCTACATATACAATTAAGATCGCTTGATTTTTTAGCATAAAGCACAACAAATCAAAATTCATATTTTTAACGCAAATAATGACAAATTAAAATCTCTAGTTTTAACTAATCAAAACACATAAGTTTTATATAAAAATGAGGGGGTGAGCTACATAATGTGTATTAAGGGGTGTAGATGCATACCTAATAGAGAATTGGAGGTACATTTCATCCAAGTCAAAAGTTACATTACAAAAGAAGAAGAAGAAGAAGAAGAAGAAGAGAGAAGAAAAGAAAAGAAAACCGAAGGGGGGCACATGACCCCCTGGACCCTTCTTACATCCATTCCTTCCTTTCTCCTTTCCTCCCTCCAAGGATACTGTCCATTTACCTATTTTTGGGTAGAGGTAGATTTCCGATTGAAACCTACACCATATAGTTGGGGGCATATAGGCTTATAGCAATTGCTATCGTGATTTTTTCCAACCTCTAGATTTGTTAATTTGAACAGCAATGATAAG